AACTGTGGATGATTAGTGTGCCTAATTTGATTTTCATAATTAATCAAGGGACTTTAAGTTATTTTCAGTATTTATAATTTCACCCCAAAGATTTTTGGAAAACACACTTAAATTTAATACATTTTCCCTTTTTCCATTTTTTTTTCCTTTTCTTTTTTTTCTTTTCTTTTTTTTTTCTTCTCTGGTTCTTCCCGTGCACCAGCCCATCTCTCTCTCTCTCCATTTTCTTCCACCGCCGGCAACCTTCTTCTCCGGGCTTCCTTCCGTCGGCGTTCTCTCTCTCTCCCTTGCTCTCTCTCTGGATTTCTCTCTCCCTCTCTCTCTCTCTCGGCAGTTTGGCCGTGAACCACCAAAAAAAAATGAAAAATAGATAAATTGAGGGAGACAAAGCTCGAGAAACTGATTTGAGGTAAAACCCTTTGAAACCCACTCTTTGATTGGAATTTTAAGCTTGAGAAAGTTTGATTTTGGTTAGATTTGAATAATTTTGAGTTAGGGTTCGAGTTTGAACAGTTATTATTGGAATCAAATGAAATTTGGGGATTTTTAGTTATTGGACTTGTTTAATTGATTAGAAACTAATTTTGATGGATTCTAGAGAATATATATTGAAATTGGACTTGAATTGCAGGTTTGGCATTTTTCCTATTTATGCCGGCATGCTGCTGAAATTTCTTTAGAAACTTATTTTTTTTAAACTGAAATTAAATAGGAAAACCAAACCTATGGATTGGATTCTAATTTTTAAAGAACCCCCAAACTGAATTATAAAATTATTGTGAAACTTGGATTTGAGTCAAGGTACACTAATAGGAAACAATTAAACATGATTGAACTTAATTCGTTTTAGGAATGAGAAATACTTCCTAAGATATTACTTTTGTGATAAAGCTAGCGGAGAAGGTCAAGTAGTAAGGCTTTAAGGAAAGCGGAGGCTAAGAGAACTGAAGGCTAGCCTAGGTTTGACATCCGAGAGGTAGGATATTCTTGTCCATATCCTTGTTAGCCTCATTTTAAATTATTTTGGCCAATGAAAATGTTTTAGAACAAAACATGTTTAAAGAAAATAATTTTAAAAAAATAGCATGAGAATGCTATTAAGTTTTTCAATGATTTTGGAAATGAGATTTCAAAGCGTATCATTTCTTAAAATGATATATTTTAAGGAATGATACAATGTATGGTGGCCTTAGAGATCGGGATGTGGGAATCGCATCCTTGGGGCAGATCCCGAAACCCGTACGGATCCACTTCTTGTTTAGTGAAATTATGGCTCTGCACTTTTCATTAGACAGACATTTTTTACCGCTTCTTGTTTAGTGGTATGATGAGCTGCACACTTTCATTATACAGACATATTCTATTATATGAGTATTTTCTTTTTTCAAAAAAAGGATGATCGGTTCCGGGTGTATATCTTCGGACCGTGAGTACTTTTATTTTAAATGCTTTATAAAATTATATCCTACTGGGCCTTTCGCTCACATTTTCCTGTTTTCAAATGTATTAAACCCCTCCAGGCGACGCCAGAAGTAGTGCGGAGTAGGTAGCTATTACCGGCGACGTGGACTTGTTTCAGGAAAGCGAAGAGTTGTATTTCCTCTAATCTCAAGGCATGTATAAAAGATTATGGATTGTAAACTTAAATATTACTAGATTGTGGTTGATGTCACATTTACTCTTGTTTATATTCATGTATGCTAAACACCTGTGGGAATTCCTGACATGATACCAGGGACGTGGTTTTAAACTGGTTTGGTTGGAAATTCCACCACCGTTCTTGAAATTAAATTTCTCTTGAATGCAAGGGCTTGTTTGGAAATACCTGGATGTTTTGAATTTGAAAAAAAAATATTATAATGTTTGCAACATTATATGCTAATCATTCTCTTAAACAGGTTTAAGTTTCTAAACAAGCCTCCACGTCACTAACCGCGGTTTGGGGGCGTGACATTTTCTCTCCATTCTTTTTTCTTTATCTCTTACCAAACGGAGTGTTAGAGTGTATGTGTCTGGATTTTACCCATTATTCTTGATTAATATCATTTTTAGTGAAATAAATATATTAATTAAAATGGTATTAATTAAGCATAACGGGTTAAAATCAAGACATATTGATTCTAAGAGTAAATTCGGTAATTTTCTCTTTAAAATATCCCAAACTTCATTCCTAATCTATTAATTGGTTTCAATTTTAATCTTTTTTATCAATTGGATGTTAAAAGCATGATAAAATATACATGTAACGCTGACCAAGAAAAAAAATATCTTTTGCTCATAGAACGCGAAATATACATTATATACAGGTGGATTCTAATACAAAAATTGTAATATAACACTATGCTAACTGAACATATTTTGTTGGAGAAATTTTATTTTGACCCCTCGCATTTTAGTCTTTTTGTCACTTTATCCTTCAAACTTTGAAAATTGGTGTACGCATCCCCTGAAGTTTGAAACATTAGTCACTTTGCCCTTTTTGTTTATTTATCTAATGGATTTGATGACATGGCAATTATTGGAAGGGTAGTTTAATGAATTATTTACATAAATACCTCATAAAGTATGTATCATATTTCAAAATGCCACATGATCTATCAAAAGACGTCAAAATGTCCATAATATATAGAAAACATAATAAAATAACAGTTAAATTGATGTGGCATGTCATTACAAATTAATTAGACATTAAATTATAATTGAATTAATAAAAGTGATTAAATATTAAAAAATAATAATAAAATAAATACAAAAATGCTTCACGTAAAAAAAAAACAAAAATTGAATAAATAAACTTCTTTTTTTCAAAAATCAAAACCCAAAAGAAAATATATATTTTTGAAAACCGTATTCCTCTTCAGCTATTTGAAAGTGCATATCAAAACACATTTTTTCCTTAAAAGGAAATTTTTTTATTTTTAAATTGTCTTTTAGGTTTTTCAATTTTTTTTAAATAAATTAGTTGATATAGCATGCCACTAAAAATTTTAAAAATCCAAAAGAAAATTTAAAAATATCGAAAAAAGAATAAAAGAACCTTCTTGCTCTTCAAACATTGAAAAACCTTATTTGTCTTTAAGCAAAAAAAAATTTGTTTTAATCTGCACTTCAAGAGCTAAAGAGGATGAGGGTTTTTTCGTTTCACACCCACCATATTATTTCTTAATTTTTTATTTTAATGTTATTATTTATCTATCTCTCTATTTTTTCTTTCTTTCTTTATTATTATTATTTTTTTTGGTAGAAAAATATTCAATTCAATCCATAAGCAAAACAGAGACGACCACTGCACTCCCAAACCGGGAGGCAAGCTCACCGGAGCTAAAAACAAAACCAAGACAAGCATCTTACAAGACAGAACAAAGCAAAGGAGTAAACAAATGGAAAAGAGAAAACTTATTATTACATAGAAGAAAAATAGAAATAAAAACTAAAAGAACTGATGAGCGAGTATTTTACTCACAAATCAAGTGTTGTTGAGGTTAAAATTTGTAAGTTTTCAAGCTTTTTCATTAGTTTAATGTGTTTTTGCTTTGTTTTGTAGGAAAATAAAAGCTGGGACTTAGGATTGATTTTGGAGCCAAAATGGAGCAAGAAAGGAGCAGCCCCCCATGGCCGAAGCCCGTTTGGGGATTGAGCCCCGCGCACACGCTGCAACGCGCACCTGTGCCGAGAACAGCAAGCGTGATGCAACACCCCACTTGGTCAACTAGGCTTTTTGGGCCATTATTCAAGCGGCGCTGTAGCGGAAATCCATCCCGCTGCAGCGCACGGACCCACATTGTGCAATTTTTGCACTTATATAAAAGCCAAATGATGACTCATTGAGAGGTGTGAGAATTGGGAAGGGAACGTGAGATAGAGAGGAAAAATTCCTAGAGAAAGGTGGTTGAGTTGAAGATTTTTGGACGATTTATGGCGGATTCTTAAAGGATTTAAGCTTGAGGTTCATCTCTATAAGAGTTCCTTTTTCATTTCTCTCACACTAGTCTTTCTTGAGATTTGTATTTGTGGATATTGTATTTAACATATTTTCATTTATGAATTTTGTGATAAGATTAGTTATAGATTTCTCTATATTGAGTTAGATCTCTTATATTAGGGGGATTGATGTAACTTTACCATGATAATATTTTGAAAATTATAGTGCTTGTTAATTAAATTCATTTCTAATCATTTGTGTTTATCTATGTTTTTTTGTCTAATTTGATCATCCATTGAATTAGATATTTATATATGTGTATTTAGTATTGAGAAAGTTATTTGCACATATTGAGATTTGGAAAACACAACCTAATTTTATTGAGTTTACTTCTAGCCTTTGTTATAGAGTTCGTTTCAATCCACCTCTTTTTACTTGTTTTATTATTTATTTTTTTTTGTTTTAATTAGTTTGTTCTCTCAATTAAGTTGTCTAGACAAAGTTGAGTTACGATAATCGCGATAGTTATCAATAATTTAATACTCAATCTCTGTAGAGATAATATGCACTTATTTTATACTATCAAAACTTGACACCGTACGCTTACTAGCGAATAATAAAACATAACCAAAGAGAAAGAACACATCACTCCAACTTTATATAAAAAAAAAATTAATAAAATGGTTAGCCTTCGATTAGCAAAAAGACATGGTCTGAGATAAAAAAATTTAATTACATATCTCCGTGCCATTTTTTGAAATAGTTATTAAAAGGTAAAAATTAGAGTTTTTTTAATCGATCTAAAAAAAAATGATAGTTTATAATTTAATAATATGGGGGAAAAACTTACCGGACACCGCGCGTGCGAATGGGGGAAAAACTTGGGTCCCAAGATCCCAGTGGTAGATATTGGGCCACGTTGTCTCCCGCCACATTCCAAACCTGTTAGCCCAGATGTACCCCGGAATATAAACTAAAACTTTACCCAACTTCCGGGATATTTCAGTAAATTCAATTTTGCCCTTTAATCGAAGCGACAAAAGTCGGTTTATGAGTTCTAATTCAATCCCATTGACACGCTGCTTCTCTTTCTGAGTCTGCGAAAAATGGCTCCCCAAACCAGAAGAACCTCATTCCCGAAAGTGATCATTGAGAAAGACACCGATTCTGAGCAAAGCTCGTCCGAAGAAGAAGAAGAAGAAGAAGGGGAAGTTTCAGAGGGAGAAAATGGAAAGGAAGTCGAGGAGACTTTGGACGCGAAGAGGAAAGGGAAATCGCCCATCTGTATTAGTCTTAAGAAAGTTTGCAAAGTAAAGACTTGTTTTCACACTTTCCATTTTTTTCCTTATACAAACAAAAGTTTTTTTTTCTATATTTTTAATTTTAATTTTTTTTAAAAATTTTTTAGGTATGCAAAAAGGCGGGGCATGAAGCGGGATTCAAAGGAGCAACCTACATTGATTGCCCAATGAAACCATGCTTCCTCTGCAAAATGCCCGGTCAGTAATTTTCATGGAATCGTTCAATACTTCTCTAATATGCGAAAATTGGGGGATGTTTTTTATTTTTATTTTTTATGTTTATTTACTTTTGTCTGGTTTGTGTGGGATTTTGGGTTGAAGGGCACACTACAATGACATGCCCACATAGAGTGTCCACCGAGTATGGTGTTATCCCAACATCCCTCAGGAATAGCCGTAACCCATTTGCCTACGTCTTTGAGCGCCAGCTTGGACCTACTAATTCTCGAGTAAGTTTTTATTATTATCACTATTATTATTAGAGCATTCCTATAAGCGACCGGACGTGCTAAACACTATCCACTAATCTTCTATTAGTGGTCTGCACTGTGGGACCCACAAGTGACATTCACTTTTTATTAGTGCGTGATGTCGGTAAACATTTTGTCTTACTATTATTATTTGTTAGTTGTTATTATTATAACTGTTGTGTGGGAAAATACTACTGTGGGGTAATCCGGTAAGTAATCCGGTAAGGTCTTGTTAACGAGATTCTACTGTCAACAATAACCTGCTTGTATTTGGTGCTATACTGCTTTAGAATATATAGTGGTAGAGTTGCGGCATATGATTGTGAAACGTAAATGACGTGTTTGGACTATGTTGGATATGTATTTACGCATATATTTTTGTGTTTATCACATTTGTGATCTCAATTTTGGGTATCTGATTTTGGTATCATTGCTGCTTTTGGATTTATAATTAGATTGATTGTTGCCATTTTTTTTAAGTGGTGTTGTTTCTCTGGATCACACAAATTAGTATGCAGTGACTATGAGTTGCAAAGAAGTGGGAACAACTTGAAAACTGTACACTTTTCCCCGTCTTCCTCTGAACAAGCAACAATGTGTGTTTTATCATTTGGGCTTTTGAATTTAAGGATTCTATGTTCTGAAAATAACATAATGAGAGGCTGAGATTTGACTTTCTGAACTATAATATATGTATAATTCATGTGTGAGATTGTGCATTAACACCGTACATGTCCCTTGATAAATTCAGTTTCTTTCTTCTTATGCACTTTATGTTTGGATCTTGAAAGCTGTATAATTGTATTATGCTTTACAGGGGTGACTATTGTGTTGCACTTTTTTTTGGTGTTCTGTTTCACCATTGTTACAAGTTTGTTGTTTTCCATATTTCCTTTTGATAGATCAAACCGGCATATGTCATTCCAGACCAGGTAAGTTGTGCAGTCATCAGATACCACAGCAGACGGGTTACTAGCTTGGAATTCCATCCAACCAACAATAACATCCTTTTATCTGGTGATAAGGTCAGTTCCATATTTTCATTGTCCGTTATCCTGGGTTTTTTTTGTTGGTCAGTGGTGTGGTTGTTTCATGACAATTGACATCTCGCTCTCTCTTATTGTTACACGGAAAAAGAAAGGACAAGTTGGAGTGTGGGACTTTGGCAAAGTATATGAGAAGATTGTCTATGGAAACATACACTCTTGTATTGTCAATAATATGAGGTTTGTTATCTTTTTATAAAGCAACAACTTTTTTTGTATATATCTATTTCTGCAACGAAGTTTACGTTCTGCTTGTCTTTTCCTTTATTGGAAACCTTTTGGTATTAAAATTTTTGCAGATTCAGTCCCATAAATGATGGTACGGTTTATGCTGCGTCGTCTGATGGAACCATTAGCTGTACTGACTTGGAGACTGGGATTTCATTGTCTCTGATGAATCTAAATCCTGATGGGTGGCAGGTATAGACCTTTCTTCTCTGTTTCTTTGCTCTTATTAAGGGTGGTTCTAAGCTTGCTCTTTCAATCATTCTGTACCTGGATAAGGTGCTAATTCCTTGCATTAGCAGTCTTATTGAGTAATGAAAGTTTTCGATGGCTTAAACCATTATCTAAAGGGTATATTTATCATATGTAAAGCTCCAAAGTGCTCCATGAAGTTAAAGGATACAGTTTGCTATAACTCAGAGTGATTATTGTACTTTTTTCTCCTTCTCTTCTATAATTTTATTGGATTGCTCAATTACAATGATATTAGTTGCTCAATGGAGAAGGTCGTGGAAGCAGTAGTTGTTTCTTAAATTTTCTTCAAGCTTATTTGTGAAGTTAGGGAATGGCGGGGACAACAGTATGGATTTGTTTTATTTTATGCAAGTTTAAATTGAGTTGCTTTACTCTAGGGCCCAGGAAGCTGGAGGATGCTTTATGGCATGGACCTCAACAAAGAGAAAGGTGTTGTGCTAGTTGCTGATAACTTTGGGTATCTCTACTCGTAAGTTTTCTCTTAACCCTTTTTTTTCTCCTTGAAAACAAAAATTACTACTTTGGTTACAGACTAAGAGAAATATGATTCACAAGAGTTGAAATGCGAAAAGATCCAGCTTGTTGGCTGTTGGCAGATTGTCTAACCCACTAGTTAAACAATTAGGCCATATATAATTAACACTATATTTATTTTGGAAAAAGAGTTCTCTTCCCTATTGAAATACCAGTATATTAGTATCTTTACCCTTTGGGATATTTATTTGGGCATCTAATGTGCAAAAGTTTCTCTAATAGATGTCCTTTCATGGTATGCATAGGGTGGATATTCGAGCCAACAACAAAACTGGTGAGGCAATTTTAATTCATAAGAGAGGGAGTAAAGTCGTCGGACTCCATTGCAACCCAGTTCAACCAGACCTTCTCTTGAGTTGCGGAAATGATCACTACGTGAGTTTTGTAATCTGATTGGTTTTCTGTGGATCTTTGCTGATTGTTTAGCTTCCTGGCCTTCTGTTACTCCAATTGTGTCCTGTGTCCTTTTCCCAGTATTTTGGAATGTTTTATTCAAAAAGAAAATTTAGTTCTGGATAACCAAATAATTATTACCATAGCAAAATGTCAATATGTGATTGAAATTTTATATCTACGTGATTTTTATATGCTACTCTGGTCATACAACCCAATAATTGACCTGTCTTTCCTCAGGCTCGGATATGGGACATGCGTCGAATTGAAGCTTGTTCTTCACTTTATGAGCTTGCCCACAAGCGTGTTGTGAACTCTGCATATTTTTCTCCACTGTCTGGGAGCAAAATTGTCACCACTTCTCAGGACAATCGTCTTCGTGTGTGGGACTCTATATTTGGAAATCTGGATTCCCCAAGTCGAGAGATTGTACACAGCCATGATTTCAATCGACATTTAACTCCTTTCCGAGCCGAGTGGGATCCAAAGGTGATATATATTTGCTTGAAGCACTTTCACTTGTTTGTTTCGACTTGTCCTCTTCTATTCTTGGAGATTCTGAAAATGCCTTCTGATGCAGGACCCATCTGAGTCCCTTGTCGTTGTAGGACGTTACATTAGCGAAAACTATAATGGTGCTGCCCTTCATCCAATTGATTTTATAGACATTAGCACAGGACAACTAGTTGCGGAGATCATGGATCCAAATATTACAACCATCAGCCCTGTGAACAAGCTACATCCATGCGACGATGTTTTGGCATCTGGTAGTTCAAGGTTTGGGCTCCTCTCACTCTCATTTAACTAGGGATTTAATTTGTTTACCAGGTCCCTTTAATTATTTATTTATTGCTGTTGTTAGGTGGCTTATGCTTGATTTAGCCCGCATGAAACTCTATAGATCTTCATAATAAAATGTTATCTAAACTTTTCACTTTCAAAAAAAGAGTCATCTACACGTTTCATTTCAATATCAGCTAAAGTCAACCAGATAGAGGTGGTAATTTATGGTCACTCACTATCTCACACATTTTGTCTCCTTGGCTATCCATGTCCACACTTTTCTTTAGTTGGTTCTCATTTCTGAGGTGGTGTCCTCACTACTAATGTTAATCTTCCAGGTCACTTTTCATCTGGCGGCCTAAGGAGAAGTGTGAGCCTGTAGAACAGAAAGATGAAGGAAAGATTATAGTTTGTAGCGGAGCTGGTAAGAAGCGTGGCGGTAAGTTTGGGGATGATAGTGATGCTTCCGACGGTGATTTGTTTAGCTCCAAGGGTAAGAATTTGAAGTCCAAAAAATCCAGCCTAAAATCATACAAGTCTCAGAAGGTCAAGCGCTAATCTGATAAGAGCATTGATGAAGAATTCGGGATATTCATTGCCTTGTCGTTCTTTTGTTTTCTTTTTTTTTTTTTAAACTCTTTTTGACAGTTTCCATCTCCCAAATCTGCACAGTTAATCACCTTGCTTTCTCACCCCATTTTTGTATCAACCTAGGTGACCGCTTTTTGGGTATTGTAACATTGTTAGTGTTTTTACCTTCCCAATATGTCCCAGCCTTTTTGCCCGCAGTTAGAAGGATGTTAACAGAAGTTATGTATTAGACTTGCCTAGTGTACAGTAGTTTATAGCATATGGGATTTATTTTGTAAAATAACTTAGCTGCCTAAACTTTTTTTTTTTTCACCTACAAAAGAGCAAATTTGCTTCTTCTTACCACATGGGATTTATTTTTTGAATAACTTTGCTGCCTGGACCTTTCTTTTTCCACCTCAGAAGAGCAAATTTACTTTATTCTTCTTCTTAGCATAGTGGGTTTATTGTTATGAAATTACTTCGCTGCCCAAACCTTTTTTCCCCACCTCAATAAGAGCAAATTTGCTTCTCCTTCTTCTTAGCAGATGGGACTTATTTTATGAAATAACTTTGCTTCTTAAACCCCCTTTTTTTTTCTTTTCTTTTTTTCACCTCAAGAAGAGCAAAATTGCTTGTTCTTACTAGAATATGGGGTTTTGTTTTTTGTTTTTTTTGTTTTTTTTGCTCTGACCTAGTATATGGGAATTATGCTAGCATATAGGTTTATTTTGTGAAATAATACATTGCTGCCTTTTTTTTTACTATTATTTTTTGTCTCCACCTCGAGAAGAGCCAAAGAGCATGCCTAAACCTTTTGTGTTCCATCGATTTTGTTATGGGTGTGAAACAAACCATTTAAACCAACTAAATAAAAAAAAATCAAACCAAATCAATTAATAATGGGTTAGTTTAGTTTAAATTTTTTTAAAAAAAATTAAATTTATTTGATTTGTGGTTTTACCATTAAAAAAACCAAACTAAACTAATTTCTATCTATGTAATTTTCTTAAAATTATATATATTTCATATATCTATAACTTATTTGTATTTAGAAAATTCAGTTATTTTAAAATTAAATGATTATAACCCTAGAAGTTTCTACCATAATCTATATATACGGTAGGCCTCGTTCACGCCGCGAATTCGAGTTTTTAATTCGAGCTGAGATGTGACATTTTTTGATAACTTTTTACTGTAGCAAAGAAAGTTAGATGTGACATTTTTTGAGAACTTTTTACTGTAGAAACCTAAAACTGAAAACTCGAATCGGTGAAATGAACGAGGCCTAATACTGTCTCTATGGGTTTACCCTCAAGCTTTCTTTGCTCATCTCTTCTCCTCTCATTCTCCACTCCTCTAGGCTTTGATCGTGATTTTCTCTAAAATTTTACCTCTTTGTTAACTTAAATATAGCCTCTGTAATAATAAGTGTCTCTGACTTGCCTATATTCGTTTTCTTTCGTATATTTAGAAAAACTCATGAGTCACAACTAATATTATATAAACATAGATATAAATATATATAATTAAATTGCTTTAACTTCATTTTGTCTTTAGGAGAAAGAGAGAAAGTCACAAAAGAGCACACAAAATATTAATACAAGTTATGGTTGAGACTTGAGAAGAAGTTGTAAAATATTAATTCAAACCAATTAGAAAATTCAAACCAAACTAATTACAATCAGTTTGGTTTAGATTGGATTAGATTTTTTAATTGGTTTGGTTTGGTTTAAAAATATCTAAACCAATTTATAATTGGTTTGGTTTACATTTCACTTAAAATAGGCAGTTTAGTTGGTCTGCACATCCCTAGTTTTTGTTTTGTGGGAGCTTTGAAATGTGACATATTCGCGTCATTCTAAGGTCTTGTTTAGTTTGCCGATTTCAGTTTTCAATTCGAGCTAAGATGTGACTTTATGTGAGTTTTTAACTGTAGTAAAAAAATTAGATGTGACTTTTTATGAGAATTTTTAACTGTAACAAAACTGAAATTAAAAACTCTAATCGGTAAAATGAACTGGACCTAAATTTAGAAGCATGTATTTCATAAGTGTTACTAAGAGAAAAAAAAAAAAAAAACGAAAAAAAAAACAAAAGAGCTTATTTACTTTGGCTTTGAGCCTTTGACTGTGTTTCTTTTTGTTCTATTTTGGATGCTGAGCCCTTGTGATTGCTCGGCCCTTGCTGGATTTTTTTTTGGGCAGCTCTGTCTTCTGTGTTTCGCTTGATTCAATGGATCTTCTCAACCTAAAAAAGAAAACCATAACAGAAAAACATGGAATGGAATTGTGCACTGTGGATCATGATCAATTTCTTGTTTTGATTTTGACTTTTGACTCTTTGGTCAGGTTTCTGATTTCTGAGGTCACCACCTCAGAAATGACAACCATGAATTAACTGACGTCCAATTCTTCACCTCTTTCATCTAGGCAGTCAAAAATGTATCCATTTTCCAAGAAAACAAGGGCTCAAGTTGAAAATCGTCTGTGGATATTTTCCAAGATTTGGGAATTGTGAATGTGTGGTTAAAAGTACATTAAAACTGTCTGTAATAAAAAAAAATATTAACATTAATCTTTTTATTATTTTCTATATTTATTATTTAATACGTAAATTATATAAATATAATATATTATTCTTTAAATAGAATTGATATAATAAAATTTATGTGTCAAACAGTTAATAAAAAAATGATAAAAAGAGTTACACTAATATTTTGTTAATAAAAAGTAAAGATGTCAATGACCATCGGGTCAAATGATACAGGAAAGGATGAGTGGGTGCTTGAGTTTTAGAGGATGGAGGTTCAATTATGCGTGTAAAGAAAAATACAAAAGGTTATATAGAGATAGATGATAGCAACAGTCATTTAATAGAGTATTGTTGTAAATAAAAAAATTAAGAGAAATGTAACGGCAATAAGCCTATTTAAATGCGTGTTTTTTTTTTTTTTACTCCTACTCGTAGAAGATAGATCTATTTTGTGGACAAATACTTGAATCCCTTAAATAAGGAAATTAAATGAAGTGTAATTCGAAAACATATCTATAAGTAACACAATGTTTGAAAAATAATAGAATCGGTCCAACTGAAAATCTTGAATCTCTAATGATCGTATCTGTCTGATTGATGGGAGAGATCGTGACTCGCTTTTTCTTAAGTTTCATGCCTCTTAAATCGATCGAATAAGGTCACGAATTCAAATTTAAGCACGTTGCTTAATCTCGTAAAAGTAAAGAATGAATTAAATTATAACATTATCAAAAAAATAACTACTTACAAATTAGATTTGATAATGTTATAATTTTCACTAATATGCTCCTATAAGATGGAGCTCCACTCTCTTGAAATTTTTTTTTTTTCGTTTTCTTTATGAGAAAATAAAGACGAATTGTGATAGTTGCCTAGGAACTACCATTGTATAGGGCGTAGGGAGTAGAGAACAAGCGCATAAAAACAAAGAACGGTGCATGAGAACGCACAATATATCTGAAGGTTGAGACTTGATAGGTTAGGAGTGCAAATGCTCCAACATCATAATAGCAGGGTGTCTGCAAAATAATGAGCACAAGAATTCAAATTCAAGTCACATGCTTAATCTCCTAAATGTGAGAATAAATTAAATTACAACATTACAAATTTTTTTTTTTTACAAAATTACATTTTGAATAAAGACAATGCTAACCTCCTCTAGTAATAAAATATGTGACAACTCTATATATACATGCATTTTTTCAAAACAATAATTATAAGAAACTGTGTACATGCATATTACTTTCAAATCGTGGAAGGAGATGGACAAATGTGGTAATGCATCTATACCTAAATAAATTAGAAGAGAAATCTGTATGTGGACATATCAATAAGATGTGTTAACAAGGAAAATTGAAATTTGGGATGATAAACGTGGCAATTAGATATACATGCACTTTTTTTTTTTTTTTTTTTAAATTTAAACCAGATGCATTTGACAGATCTGGTAATGATAACCAATTTGGGACATGTTTGGTATATTGTATAAGCACTCCGTATTGTGTTGTTTAATAATAATATTATATAATATTTGGTGATATTTATACATTGTATAATTTAATACAAGATTTAAAATTAATACAATACGAAGTGTGATATATAATACGGAAAAAAAACCTATATACTAGACCGTATTATGCAATTTAACTTAAAATACCATATTAAAAACATATAAAATATTTCACAAATATCAAGGCTCAAGGTTCGATTTTAGGACTGATATTGGGGTCGAGTTTCAAGATCGGAGTGATGTTGGGTTTATATTTTTTTAAAATTTTATTTGACCCTAAACTTTTAAAAATTATATTTTGACTCCTCAACTGTTTAAAATTATATTTTTGGCCCTTAATTTTTTTAAAATTACAATTTGACCCCATTTTAATTTTTTTTGCAAAGAGACCCCTATGTAGCAATTGTACTTTCTCCCTTGCTTCTTCCAAATGTTGGGTTCAGGTCGAGATTAGAGTCAAATTAAGTTATGATTTGGCCTAAATTTTATCTTATTACAATTACGTAAATAGATTACAATGATAAAAATAGTATAATGTTTAATAATACCACTAATCAAACACCATACTGTATAATAAGTACACAATGCAAAACAATACTATACGATACAATACAATAGAATACGGTGAACAAAATATGTCCTTAAAATAACCACTAAGAGCTTATTTGGTATATGAGTTCAAACTATGATTCAAATTAAGGTTATTGATTATAACTTTTAAAATTCAATTTTTTTATGAGGAAAAAAGACTGTTGTAACAGAACCCTACCAAACATACACTAAGAAAAACAAAAATCTACCTTAATCACAAAATAAATAAATAAATAAATAAAGAATTCTGTCAAAAATAAGTCGCATAATCAGCATGTAGCCAGCGAGAGAAGACGTACAGACGGACGAACCGGGCCAAAGGAAACCATAAAACGAACTCGCCAACTGTCAAATCTTTTAGAAACAAATTCCTCTTTTATCACATGTTTTTCTTTTAAAAATGGGAAATTTTCCCTTAAACAAAAGCGAAATTACGTAACTATCACTCTTGAAAAGCCAAAATACGTCTCAAGAAACAGCCAAAATACTAAATATCGGACTAAGGTAGGGGCAATTTCGGTAATCGGTAACCCTCAAAATTCGCGGGGGGCCGCCGCTGAGCGTCTTCGTCCAGTTCTCTCTCCTCGCCCACTCAAAAGTGTTTCGTTTTTCGCTGACGTCATCGCTTACACCTCTACGCCTTCCCGATTTCCATATAAATACGTACTCAAAGACTTAACTAAAATAAAAGGAGAGAAATAAATAGTTTCAAAAAAAAAAAAAAAAAGAGTTTGTTTCATTCGTTCCCGATTCTCTCTCGCTTTCAGGTGGACGGAAGAGAGAGAAAACTCTGGAAGTTACAGAGAGAGAGAGAGAGAGAGAGAGAACAGGGGAGTTTCACGTTAATGGCGGCTTCCAACGGGAGCGAGTACTTCGAGTTTGAGATAGAGACCGGAAACGAGACGTTCGCGAGGCCGTCGAACGCCGAGTCCGTGGCGGCCGACGAAGAGGAGCTTCTATGGGCGGCCATCGCCAGATTGCCTTCTCAGAAGCGTTCGCACGTCGCCTTGTTGAGAAAGACGCCTTCGGGGAAAGGAGGCGCAGAGGCGATCGACGTCAGGAAGCTAGATCGCCATGGACGAGAGCTTCTTGTGAAGAAAGCTTTGGCGACCAGTGATCAAGATAATTACAAGCTTCTTTCCGCCATTAAAGAACGCCTTGATCGGTAAGGAGCCATTGCATCACTCTGCTTTGAGATCTGACTTTTTTTTTTTAGCTGCATGGTGGTCGGACGACGCTCATGCTCTAGTTTCTATCATCTCTCCTGTTTGTTTACCTACGTTATTCTTTTTTTTTTTCTTTTCTTGTTTTTCACGCTTTCCGGAAAGTCGAGAAAACAGTGGAAAATTCAATTACTTATAGTGTGTTTGATTGGTGTATTCGTGTCATGATTTAAATCATAATTCGTAGTTCGTAACAATATTTTTTCTCATAAAAAACACACAAATTAAGAATGATTCTGAATACATGAAAGTAAAACAAAAATTGAAAACGTAGAACATTTTTCTTGCTTGGTTTCGTTTCAATATATGCTCGATTGTGAATTTCGAGAAAGTTAATGGAAATATATTTACCTGATTACAAGATTAATTTACACTGATAAATTTAGATCCTTTCATTTTCCTAAGGAAGTATACATCTCTCGTCATTATAGATTTCACTTTGATCATATAATAAATGAAGTTAAGTACAAGTAATTTAGCATAATTTGTTTCCTTCGTATTGGTTCTAAATTTTTGTTCATATTTTCGTCTTTGCGTACATCAAAAGTGTCGGATTAGAAGTGCCAAATGTCGAAGTACGCTTCGAGGACTTGAATGTTGCGGCGGATGTTCATACTGGTTCAAGAGCTTTGCCTACTCTTATTAATTATACACGTGATGTTCTTGAGGTTGAGTATTTTATTTAATTACGGTCCTTTATGTGAACGTTACTTGTTCTTCTTTTTGCCAGATTTACCATTTCTGCTATTGATTTACAAATCACCACCCCCGTCTATGAAGTTATTAATCATTGCTTATGCAGAATGTCCTTACTAGTTTGAGGATATTTCGACCAAAAAGGCATTCTTTGACCATTTTGAACAACATCAGCGGCGTTGTGAAACCTGGAAGGTAATGTAGAAGTCAGCAACTCAGACGTAACTTTTGGAAATGAACAATTTGATTTGTTATTTTCTTAGACATTAAGCATAGGATTAACTAAGAAAACATGCCCCTGACTTTATGTATGCTATGCATTTTTTTAATCTCTTTACTCGTTTATGTTGCATTCCACGTACGGAAGGAACACAATCTTCATTTTATGGACGTTGGAACAGTAAAATCACGATGCAAAAAAAGAGTAGTGGAATAAACTATCTACAAAGATGATACCAAAATCTAGAATATTCTCTGTTGGCCCACTTAATTATGTCAATAGTGATCAAGTATTATTTGGAAATATGGCTCTAGGTGCTTTTTGTTGAGATTATATTTTTTTTATGTATATCTACTTATGGTGGAAAAATGTTTTAGCACATGCTGACTATATCTACTACGTATTTATATTATTTGAAGTTGGAACAATGGAGATATTAAAGTTGAAAAAGCAATGAATATCACGTTTTATTGGAGACATGTGTGTGCCTGAATAGTCCCAATTCTTCTAAAAAGAAACTCATTAGTTTCTTGTGCTTTGTAACCATAAATTTAGCACGGGTCACGTCACACGCATCATGTTCCTTTTGCAGGATGACCTTGCTATTAGGTCCTCCAGGCTCGGGAAAATCCACTTTGCTTTTAGCTCTTGCTGGCAAACTTGAAAGCAATTTAAAGGTTAGTACTTTTTATACGATATTGTTCACGAGCTTCTTTTTTTTTTTTTTTTTTTTTTTTTTTTTTTTTTTTT